TCTTTGTATCTTACAGGAAAATTTTGATGATTTGCTGTCCTTCTTGAGACGGTCCATCGTGACAATCAACTCCACGCGAGTGGACATAAGCTTGGCCAAAGGATTCCAGTCCTGGATTGTGTCCTTCATCTCCTACTTCAAAGAATGGGTGGGGGTTGGAATGTTTGGAACGGTCCTGCTATGGAATAGTGTTTCTCCTCTGGATGGTCTGCTGACTCAAATCCCAAAGTCTTAGGGACAAAGTGGTTTTTGCACAGCGCTGGCTGCCCTGGAACAGGGAGCCTCTACTGATGTGTGGTTATCTATGTTAAAGCAGTAAGGTTTAAGCCAACCAGCTCCTGCACCCCTAGGACTGTGGTCCATGGCACAGGGTAGAGTGCTTGGCTTAGCTAGCCCTGAAGGTTGTGGAGCTGAAAAGCATCGCACAGAGAATGGCCCTCTCTGAGAGATAAGTCGCTCTGCATAAGGGTTTCCTGCCGTATATCCCCTTTCCCAGAAAAATGGCAGAGGGCAGGCCGGATAGGTTCCAGGTGTCATGAACCTAGGGGCAGATTCCGTGTAAGCCCATTTTAATGTTTTCATTTTGGGAAGTGCGACCTCTATCTTTACCTGCCTAGGGAGTTGCCTTTCTGCAAAGAAGTAAAATTAGGGGGAGATGTAGAAGGCCGCAGCCACATTCTCCATTATCAAGATGGCGCTGACATCCAGCTTCACCGCCAGGTGAACACACATGTGCTCAGTAATTTCCCACTGAGTCCCCGCCTACTCCCGAGGCATCACCTGGGACTGAGAGCAGCGGACCTATCCAAGAGTGACACGTCCGAAGCAGGGTCTGTTTCCTTTATAAGGGATGGGTTCCATCCTATCTGGGTCTCCGCCATGTGGCTTATGCTCTAGCTCCCAAGAGGATTAAAGCTTTTCTGCAGAAGAATCCTATGTCCTGCGTGGTTCTTGCAGGCGAGAGGAAGCGCGGGACAGTGGCTATGTATTGTTTAAATCTGTTTTTATCCTGTAATATCTTGTTTTCTCCATCGATGGTGAATGCCAGCTTTGCTGGGTTTAGTAGTCTAGACTTGCATCCATGGTCTTTTAGTGTCTGCAGCACATCTATTCAAGACCTTTTGGCTTTCATGGTTTTCATTGAGAAGTCAAATATAATTCTGATAGGTTTCCCTTTATATGTTACTTGACCTTTTTCCCTTGCAGCTCATAATATTTGTTCTTTATTCTGTATGTTTTGTAATTTGATTATTATATGGCGAGGAGATGCTTTTTTTTATCTAGTCTATTTGGTGTTCTGTATGCTTCTTGTACCTTCATAAGAATATCCTTCTTTAGATTGGGAAGTTTTGTTCTATAATTTTGTTGAATATATTTTATGGGCCTTTGAGCTGTAAATCTTCTCCTTCTTCTACCCCTATTATTCTTAGGTTTGGTCTTTTCACAGTGTCCCAGATTTTCTGTATGTTTTGTGTTAAGAATTTGTTGAATTTACTTTATTCTTTAATCGGTGAGTTTATTTCCTCTATAGTATCTTCAGTGTCTGAGATTCTTTCTTCTATCTCTTATATTCTGTTGGTAATACTTGTCTCATAGTTCCTGTTTGTTTACCCAGATTTTCCATATACAGCCTTCCCTCGGTTTGTGTTTTCTTTATTACTTCCATTTCATTTTTCAAGTCTTGAACTGTTTCCCTTACCTGTTTGATTGCTTTTTCTTGGCTTTCCTGGGTATCTTTGAGAGATTTATTCATTTCCTCTACTTCTTTGTTTGTCATCTCCATTTCTTTATGACTGTTTTCCACGTCCTGTTTAAGGTCCTCTATTATTTTCATAATGTTCTGTTTAAAGTCGATTTCTTCTATTTCTTCTGGAGTAGGGTGTTCAATTCTTCTTTTTGCGTGATCCCTGGATTCTGGTGATGTCATGTTGCCTTTCAGGATGTTGGAGGAATTCTTGCATTGGTGCCTGCCCATCTCTTCCTTCAAATGCAGCCAGGAGATTTTTGGTGTCTTGGACCAGTCTTTGCTGTGACTGACTCTCTGGGTGGATCTCCTCAGTGCAGGAGCAAGAACTGTTCCAGTCTGGATGGAACTCCTCAGCACAGAAACATGGACTCCTGGTAGTCCAAAGACCCCTCAGAGAAAAGGGTGAATGTGGGGGAGGGCAGGGTCGAGTGGAACACAAAAGACCCTGCAGCAGAAGCTGAAGATGTCCTGCACTCCCTTGAGGGGACCTTCTGGCCTGCCTGGCCAACAGACACTCACCCTTCTGGGTGGGTCACCTTAGTGCAGGAAGGGGAACTGTTCCTGGACCAAGAACCTTGCAGACAATAGGGCAGGGTGCAGGAGGCAGGGTTGTGTATAACAAAGAAGCCCCTGCAGCAGGAGCTGGGGGGGGCGTGCTCGCTTCCGGAACAGTCTGCCCCAGGGATGGCTCACACTCACCGGTCTGGATGGAACTCCTCCTGGCAACAAGATTTACCCGTACTGATTGTACTGGCTTTTGGGGAACCTATTGTCTTTGTATGGATACCTTGCTCAGCCTAGATATAGTAGAGAGGACCTTAGACTGCCCCAAACAATATGCCTTGCCCTCTCTGAGGAGTGAATGGGTTTGGTGAGAGGAGTAGTTGGAGAGAATGGGAGGAGAGGAGGGAGTGGGAACTGGGATTTGTATAAAATGAAAAAAGATAGTTTGTTTTCATTTTTAAAAATAAAATATGCATTTAAAATATATTAAAAAATTAAGTGTTCTCCTATGTGAATATAGTGGATGAGGGTGACTACTCTCTATCAACATTTGTTTAATAGCATGATGAAATCTTTCACATTTACAGTGTATATGTGAATTATATTACTTTTAAAACAGAGGCTTCTTACAATGCCAACTTTGGCACCAACTGAAACTCAATCCAAGAACCAAAGGGGAGTTCCTTCCACAGAAGCTCCTTGAGGCGCAGTCAAAGATGAACAGGTTGCATAGCACACTTTCTCAAGTGTGAACCTTTAAGACCAGAGACAAGGAAGATATGTGCACAGACATGAATACACACATAATTGTCCTTTCAAGAGTCATCTATCATTGAGTTACACATTTGGTTCTTTTAGTTTTATGATCTTTTAAGGCCAAATGACTCTGAGTTCAACCTGCATATTTTTATCCTAATTTTTTATGGGACTTTATGAATCAAATGACAGGCCTAAACATGAAGTTCTAACATTTTTCTAATTTTTCACTTAGTTTAATATTTACTAGAATATAATCTAAGCCATTTAAAAAGTCTCTGAAAAGTCAAGATTCTATATTAACATACGAAAGAAATAATAACAAGCAACAGGAGGATCCATGCACGTCTCAAATTTTTAGGCTGAAATCTCTTTCCCACACACTCCTACAATTATCAATATTTTATTGTTTTTATATAGTGTTGGTGGTGCTGAGATCATAGACATTGAAATGGTGATGGGCATGATGCTCTTAGTGGAGTAATAATGGACAGGGTGGCAATGATAGTGAAGGTAGGCAGAGGTAGTTGGTTGATAACTTTTAGAGGTTGTAATAATGATGGTCATATTGGTTCTGGGGATGTGGATGTTGCAGATGGAAGTAGGGACGATAGTGAGGGCTGTGAAAAAATGTGCATCAGTAGCTTCTAAATTATCACTTCCTTAATGCTATTTAGATGCCTCATATTGTGTCAATCAAATGGCTTGCAATAGCTCAATTGTGACCAAAGGCAACACGTTGGCAAATAGGATTTTCCACAAGTAACATTAACAAGAAATTGTTCAAACCTACACCAGAATATCAGTCAACCATGTAAGAGTGAGAACCATCAAAATAATAACAAGTACTGGTAGAGGAATGGAGGAAAAAGAACACAGACTCTCAGAGAGTGTGAGAATGGAGATTAACCCATCAAATATGGAAATCAGTATGGGGTTTCCTTCAAAGAAATAGCACTAAAGCAGAACAATCATATGATTCAGCACCATCACTTGGGTTTTTAATGAAAGAAGTCACATACAGCATAGAATAAAGATGCCTGCATATCCATCTATATTTCAGACTACTCCTAAGATGCAAAGTAATTAAGTCAGTACAGTTACTCACAAATGAATGAAAGGGTTAGAAAAACGTGACACTTAGGTGGACTGGAGTAATGATCAGTCATGTAAACCAATAATATCATGTGCTCTGCAGGTAAATAAATGAAACTGCATATCAGCATGTTCAGGGAAATTAATCCAGTCTTAAATACAAGGATGGCACCAATGTTTCAAATATTGAAGAAGGAAAACATAACAAGGGTAGGTTGGTGTAGATGTGTAACTACTACATAGGACAAAGGGGGAAAGTGAGGGGAAAACACATGGGGTGTAGGGAGGGATATTTGTGCTAAGTGCCACATGCGTATCTGAATACCACATAATCATCTTAAAATGGCATGTGCTAACAAATAGCTTATAATTGTGCAAAATGAAACTCTGTCTCTCAAGCAAACAAACACTATGTTATGGCCTAAAATACAGTCAACATCTGATTATAATGGAATGACTCGGGCAATAAAGAATAAAAACAATGTAATAGAAACATATCAGAAAGGTCATAGAGTCAATTTGAGAAGAAAAAGAAGAACTCATGAGTACTAACAGCCATATTGTACTTTATTTAGGAAATGAAGCCACAGTGACAACAGCACAAACAAGGAGACTGAGAGTTTTGGAAACATCCTCTGAGTGCACAGGGTGGGAAGATGCTGCTCATCACTGAGCATCTGGGACACTGAAACAGTGAGGAAGGACCATTCTTAGCCGTCCCTTATAGCAGAAGCAGAACAACATCAGAGGAAATCTTTCACAGAAACATGGAAAGAGAAGGATGGACAAGATTTTTCTGCATCCATGGCAGGCTTTGAAGTGCGTTGGAAGTGTTTCTGTGGAAGTATGAGAGGTAGATATCCTCCTCTTCTCTTGGCCTTGGTGACTGCTAAAGCACTCAGTTGCTCTTGGGTGGGCACTTCGGCTGGCAGGGTGTAGGAGGTTGCACAGGGGGGCATTTCTGCTGGCATGGCTGAGCGGGGCATGGCTCTGCGCACTTTGGGGGAGGACAAGGCTCAGGGCACTTTGGGGGAGGACAAGGCTCTGGGCACTTTGTGGGTGGGCACACAGGAGGAGGCTGGCAGGGCTGCTTGCACTGCTGCTCTTGGTAAGACATCGTGCTGAAGTCTCAGGATCTGGAAGACATTACATGAGAGTGTTATGGGTGATCCACACAGAGAAGATAGACGAAGCCATGGGCTATCACATCCATTTCCTCCCCACATTTTCACATCTCCCCAAGTCCTGTTTTAGGACATCCTGGCTTTTCCCTTTCCTGTCAGCAATCTGGTACAGTAGCCTTGGGAAATCCCCATTGTTTGATGCTTTTTTCCAGGAGAAAATATTTGTTTCAAGGAAAACAAAAGTGTTTCACAGAGAAGCATCTTCAACGCAGGATGTCTCAAGGAATGCTTCCCTGGGTACCCTCAGAATGAATCCCTGACTCTCCTGTTACTGTGACATCCCAGCAGGTTGTCTGGGTGACAGAGTAGAGGACAGGTCAGGAAAACCAGGTCCTAATACCTGCTACGTCATAGGACTATGAAAAGACACCAAAGATGCACATGAAAGAGAAATACACTGTGCTCAATCGCATACTAAATAAAAGAAAAAATCATCACACACCATCCCTAAAACTCGACTGCAGCACATAAGCAGAGCATCAAGACAGACCAGCTCAAGAAATAACACTCACCAGGTCTCCAAAGTAGTCTAGGACTTGATCACCAGGAGTCTGCAGTCATGCAGCCAAGGGCCTCTTTATAGCACTGACTGCCCCACCCAGAGGGAGTAGAGCTGACTGACAATGGGCAGGTCCAAGAATTTCTTAAACAAAATACAAACCCATGCATGACTCACTTGACTGGGACTCTACATCATGTGAAATATCCTGTCTGGACATCATCACTGTAGAGTGCTGTGACTCAGTGGGCCCTCCTGTCTCTTTGGTTTCAGTCAGACTTTCCTGGCTGTCTAGGTTGTCTTTCTTGATTGAAGACAGTATTTCTTTCCCCTGTTACATCTCTCTTATGTCCTGTTTGTTCTTTCTCAGTTCATTGATACTCAGTTCATTGATACTCAGTTCACTGATACATTGTGGAGCACTGGCCCATTTATATTCCTGATTTTAGGCAAAATTTGCCTGTGTGCTGAAAGAAGGACAGAATTATAGGGGACTTCAGTTGTGCTTTCAGCATTATCTTTGGCAAACATGTTCTGGAGACAGGTGTAGTCTGCTGCATAGGTTTAAGTCTTTTCTGTAACCATAGAAATTAGAATATGCTTTTTATAGGGGAGGTTGCTGGACTTGGACCTTAACCTCACCCTTGTCAGGACTGCCAGCTCCAAAGACATATTTGGTGTATATGCTTAGAATTTCCTCTAATAATTTTCATAAAGCTGTTTATCATGATGATAAAGAAAATAAAATCATACCTACCCTAACACCTGCCTTAAGCATGTTCTTGCTTAGGTGGTTAGCATGAAGAATCATAATCTCCCATACTTCTCTTGTGTGAAGAGCTGTTGAACCCACCTTGGCTGTGGTACACACCAACTGGAGCTCTGGGATCTCCCAAAACACATAGTATACTGACTCCTTCATACACATGTGCTCATTCTTGTACATGCACACAGACAGAAAACAGACACAGACAAATAAGCATCAAACTTACATTTTTATCTGCCACATTGCTACATTTATCACTTACCCATTTTCTAATGTATATTACTAATTCATTGGTTCATAAAAACTAATAGAAGGAACTAAAAATTGGGTGTTTGTTTAGTTATTGATTGACTTAATTGACTTTTGAACATTTAAGGGAGTCCAAGGCTCTAGGAACATTGGAGAAAGTCAAGGCTCAGAACAATTTGAGTGTAGACGATGCTCTGAGCACTCTGTGTGTTGGCACACAGGGAGAGGCTTCATGGCTGCTTGCACTGCTCCTCTTGGTAAGATTGGTAAAATTGTGCTGAAATCTTAGAATCTGAAAGACGCTATGCAACAAATCTCACTAGAGTTGATCCCCACAGAGAAAGAATCTTAAGTTTATGAAATATCAGAACTCTTCCTCAATTCCAACTCCTCCTCCAGACTTCCTGAATTTCCCTTCCATGTCAACTTTTTGTTTTATTAACCTAGAAAAGCAAACTTTTCTTCACTTTTATTGTAAGAAAACATCTTTCCTTCAAAGGAAATAGTAAGTGATCTTACAAAAACATGATCTTCAAGAAAGGCAGTCTGAAGTTTAAGTTCTAAAATACTGAGCAATCTCAGTGATAACAGTAACTGCTGCATTCACTATTGCTTGAAATGTCCCAGGAAGTTGACTACGGTATAAAGCAAACCCAGAATTTAGAAACCTAGAACCTCCTAAGAAGGAGAGGAAAAGAGTTCATAATAGAGAAAAATATTTTCTTTAGTCCTGGAAAATTCTTTGTGATTAGAGAAGAAAGAGCAAAATGAGGAACATGAAACAAAGCCATTAAGTAGTCCCAGCTCTGCTGTGAGAAGCACATGGGTACTGAATCAAACTCAGTGAAACATGTCAGCTTCCTGTGACTGTCAGTGCCTTTCAGAGTGAGAAACAATTTAGCTAGGATGCCTTTGTCCATGTCACTGAAGGGAAAGAGTCGTCAGTTCTGAGGCCAGGTGCCAAGAAACACACCACCAGTGGATGGTTCATATAGGTTAGTACACATACCATAGGACCAGGTCAGTAGGAGACTCAGTACTTTCCATGTTTGCATATCACACCTAAATAATTATCTTAGGCAATGTCTCACTTCAGTCATGTCAAATTACAAAATTACACACTGACCCGGAGTGTCAGTATAACACAGGGTCAGTTAACCATAGGTTCTTCTTATGAATATAGCCCACTCAGAAGGTACAAAGGGCTAAAGGGAAATAATGCAAAGGGATGACTTACATTGTGGCAGGACATGAGAGGGCAGGGTAGATCAGGGCATAGAGAGGTGATTAACATTAAAGACCTTTTGGAAAAGCCATATGGAAATCTACTACTCTGTTAGCTTACTAGAATATATATGAATATAAAATGTTCTAATGCATTTACCTTACAACTGGAAGGGGTGCAAAGCCACAGTAGATACCTCAAACTAACAAGTGCAGACCTCAGTAGCAGTACCACCTTAGCTCTTTTTAGTTTCTAGACAGTGAAGGCGATAGTCTGACTCCACTAGCTCACAGACTATTGCCTGTAACTTGTCTACCCTCCAAAACTTCATTGCTTTTCCTTAATGGCATCGTTTGCATTTTATGTAGTCCAACTACTCCAGACAATAGGGCCTACTCTGGATTGTGGTCAACACAGCAAGGGTAACGTGGAAGAAAACTGCCATTCCTTCTCTCAGAAGCTAGCAGTTCCTAATAGCACCTCAGCTAGGGGGATTTCATACTTCCCTTCTCTTTCATGATGAGTTTTGGTCTGGTTTGAGTTTTCACATGGCTGTCCATGCTGTGTCAATTGTTATGAGTTCAAACACTTAATGGCCTGGTTATGTGAAGAAAACAGTTTCTACCTGTGGTTCTTATACCCCTTCTGCCAACTCCCCTGTGAGGGAAGGCTGAGAAAACACTAGTTTCTTACTCCCAGCACCATTTATCAGTTGCAGGTCTCTTTGTTAATTATATAGTATGAGGAGAAGCTTTTCAAATGGGGAATGAGAGATATATTGATTTGAGCACAGCAATAAATCATTAGGAATTGCTGTGTTGCTTTGTCATTTAGCAGAATAATAGTACTAGTTTTATTATCCACCAAGACCTGTCGTAACTAGATATAGATTCTCTCCCCCTTTACCAGTGCTAGGAATTCACTTTGTCTCACAGAGAATGTTAAATCCAATCAGAATGTGGTCAGTTGCTCCCTTATATTTATCTCATTATCACACCAGAGGGCATGTCTTATCAAGTGTAACTTGCAGTGTTCTGGTGTTCTGAACTGGTTGAGGTCAGAGAATACTTTCCACCTTCAGCAGTGTACACAGCACCTTCCACTATCATGAAGACTGACCCGTAGGATTGGAGTGTCTAGGTAAACACCTCCTAGATTTCTCCATGTTTTATGACTTAAGGATTGGAGTCTATTTCATGTGTGGGCTCCTAAGCTAAATCAGCATGTATATTATAAAGGTTTCTTGACTTCAGAATTTGGGTCTAAGAACATGTTACTTTGGAAAAGAGATTTCTCTTTTTTTCCACAGAGGATAAAAACCTGTAGGAAACTTCCAGACCAATGTGGTTTGATAGACGATGCACCCCTGAAACGTTGCCGTAAACACCCTCAAAAAATTACTTCACCCAACTGCAGTCTGAGATGAACCTAACACACAGCATACACATGAAAGGCCTTATTAACAGTGTCCCCAAACAGCAGGAAGCAGTATGGACAAATCTACACCCATATTCCCAAATATTGTTTATAATTATTTGTTTACATTTAAAGGGGGATATACTATAGATATGAATAATTTGAATTGGTATGGATCTTGGTTTATTGATACAAATTTAAAGTCAATTTTGTTATATGTATATTTCTTCTCTTGATTAAGGTATTTTGATTGTGTAATTCATTTTAAAAATGTAAAGTATAATTAAGAAATAATAGGTTAATAGATAGTTATCTATAATAGTCAAGATTATAGTCGTGTTAATTAGGTTTTCTAGATATACAGAGATATATTTCAACTAGTTAGGTATTTTCAAATCTTTCAGAGACCTTCCTTCAGAACATGGCATTTAAATGTTTTAAAAATTTAGGACTTTTCATGACAATGAGACATATATGCTTCTGGCAGCACAAAGTTACTTCAAAAGGATGATGAGGCATTGAAGAGAATCCTTATGGAGTTGGTTAGCCAAGAAACTGCTCTTGCCTGGACTGCTTCACTGGACATGCAGGACCCGCAGAAAATGACTGCTGAACTTGCCTAAAGGTGAGATGATCCTTTGGGGTTCCTGCGACATGAGCGAGTCTACAAGATATTCTACAGAATACAATTAAAAAAATGATTGGAAAACTGTCAATATAGGCAGAACTGTCTTTAAAATTTCCTGCTTTGTGGAAAAGTCTGCTGGATACTATGGCC